AGTCCACAATTCACCCTTGTAAAAACCTATTTTTTCCTCCATAAATAGCTTTCTTTTTCCCCAAGAATTTCCCAATTTTACCCCAAAATATGCCCAATTTTATCCCAAAAAATCCCCAATTTTCCCTTTTAAAAATTCCCCATTTCCCCCTATAAAAATCCCAATTTTTCCCCCCAAAAAATCAATTTTCCCCACATTCTTTCCATATTAAAATCCCTTTCCCTCCCCCACATAAATCCTATTTTTCAACCCTAAAAAACCCCCAACCCCCCCCATAAAAATCCCTATTTTTACCCAAAAGAATCTTTAATTTTTCCCACCAAAAATCAATTTTTCTTCCATTTTCTGTTTTTCAAATCCCATTTTCTCCCCATTTTTTCTCTCACTACCTAATTCCTTGTTGCTCTTCTCAAAATTTGGGTGATTTTACCCAAATTTCTGGTGGTTTTGCCCGAATTTTGGGTGTTTTTACCCAAATTTTCACTTTTTTTTGGTTTCTTTGCAGGCCACCACGTAGCGCTGGGCCACGTTGAGGGGCGGGGAGTAACCGTCGGCGTAGGAGGTGTCCTCGAAAAGCACCGAATAATCGTCCTGGGGCTGAAATTTGGGGGAAAAAATGGAAAATTTGGCGAAAAATTTGGATTAGTAATGAACCATGCCCATTAGAAACTTCCTTATGTGGCAAATGGCTTCCCTAGCAAAAGCCACGCCCCTTAGCAACGCCCTCATATGGCAATGGCTTCCCTAGCAACAAGCCACGCCCCTTAGCAATGCCCTCATTGGCAATGGCTTCCTTAGCAACAAGCCACGCCCCTTAGCAACGCACTTATATGGCAATGGCTGCCCTAGCAACAAGCCACGCCCCTTAGCAACACAGTAATACAGCAATGGCTTCCCTAGCAACAAGCCACGCCCCTTAGCAACGCCCTCATTGGCAATGGCTTCCTTAGCAACAAGCCACGCCCCTTAGCAACGGCCTTATATGGCAATGGCTTCCCTAGCAACAAGCCACGCCCCTAAATAGGGCAATGGCTTCCTTAGCAACAAGCCACGCCCCTTAGCAACACACTAATATGGCAATGGCTTCCCTAGCAACAAGCCACGCCCCTTAGCAACAAGCCACGCCCCTTAGCAACGGCCTTATATGGCAATGGCTTCCCTAGCAACAAGCCACGCCCAATGGCTGCCCTAGCAACAAGCCACGCCCCTTAGCAACACACTAATACAGCAATGGCTTCCCTAGCAACAAGCCACGCCCCTTAGCAACGCCCTCATATGGAAATGGCTTCCCTAGCAACAAGCCACGCCCCTTAGCAACCACCTTATATGGCAATGGCTTCCCTAGCAACAAGCCACGCCCCTTAGCAACGCCCTCATTGGCAATGGCTTCCTTAGCAACAAGCCACGCCCCTTAGCAACGCCCTTAGATGGCAATGGCTTCCCTAGCAACAAGCCACGCCCCTTAGCAACATCCTATATGGCAATGGCTTCCCTAGCAACAAGCCACGCCCCTTAGCAACGCCCTTATATGGCAATGGCTTCCCTAGCAACAAGCCACGCCCCTTAGTAACGCCCTTATATGGCAATGGCTTCCTTAGCAACAAGCCACGCCCCTTAGCAACACCCTTATATGGCAATGGCTTCCCTAGCAACAAGCCACGCCCCTTAGCAACACCCTTATATGGCAATGGCTTCCTTAGCAACAAGCCACACCCCTTGGCAACACCCTCATATGGCAATGGCTTCCTTAGCAACAAGCCACGCCCCTTGGCAACACCCTTATATGGCAATGGCTTCCCTAGCAACAAGCCACGCCCCTTGGCAACGTCCTTATATGGCAATGGCTTCCTTAGCAACAAGCCACGCCCCTTAGCAACACACTAATATGGCAACGGCTGGCCTAGCAACAAGCCACGCCCCTTTGCAGCAAGCCACGCCCCTTTGCAACGCCCTTATATGGCAATGGCTTCCCTAGCAGCAAGCCACGCCCCTTAATGGGGCAATGGCTTCCTTAGCAACAAGCCACGCCCCTTAGCAACACACT